GAGCTGGGATTACAGGCGCCCACCATCACGCCAGTTTTTTTTGTTTTATTTTTTTGAGATGGAGTCCTCACTCTTTCTCCCCAGGCTGGAGTGCAGTGGTGGAATCTCAGCTCACTGCAAGCTCCGCCTCCCTGGGTTCACACCATTCTCCTGCCTCAACCTCTCCAAGTAGTGGGACTACAGGTGCCCGCCACTACGACCGGCTAATTTTTGTATTTTTAGTAGAGATGGGGTTTTCACCCTGTTTGGCCAGGCTGGTCTTGAACTTCTGACCTTAGGTGATCTGCCCAGTTCGGCCTCCCAGAGTGCTGGATTACAGGCCCGAGCCACCGCGCCCAGCCTTTGCCTTTTATTATTATTTATTATTTAAATATAGGTGTTGAAACTGAGTCTCACTCTGTCACCCAGGCTGGAGTGGCAGTGGCGTGATCTCGGCTCACTGCAACCTCCTACCTCTCGGTTCCAGCAATTCTCCTGCTCAACCTCCCAAGTAGCTGGGATTACACACACTTTTTTTATTTTTTTCTCACAATTTTTTTTTTTTTGTACTATTCTTTTTTTTTTTTTTTTAAGGAAGTTTTTTTTTTTTTAGATTAATTTTTTTTTTGTTTTTTTGCTTGCATTTTTTTTTTTTTGCATCTGAACTTTTTTTGTTTTTTTCCAACATTTTTTTTTTTTTTGCCTCCAATCTTTTTTTGTTTTTTTAAGGAACTTTTTTTTTTTTTTACTGGGAATTTTTTTTATTTTTTTTCTCTCTTTTTTTTTTTTTTAAGGTAAAAATTTTTTTATTTTTTTATGGGGCTTTTTTTTTTTTTTGGTCCCCTCTTTTTTTCTTTTTTTGACAGAGTTTTTTTTTTTTTATCCAGGAAGTTTTTTTATTTTTTTGCCCAAATTTTTTTTTTTTTGAGAGCAAATTTTTTTTGTTTTTTTTCTAGAGTTTTTTTTTTTTTAGACCTCAAGTTTTTTTGTTTTTTTGCCCATGTTTTTTTTTTTTTAGACTAGAAATTTTTTTCTTTTTTTAGCCACCTTTTTTTTTTTTTACACCACCCTTTTTTTTATTTTTTTTGGCCACTTTTTTTTTTTTTGGTCTGGCCCTTTTTTTCTTTTTTTAGGTCCGTTTTTTTTTTTTTCTGGTCTTCATTTTTTTCTTTTTTTGGCAATTTTTTTTTTTTTTTGGAAGAGCTGTTTTTTTGTTTTTTTGGGTAGCTTTTTTTTTTTTTGTCCATTTTGTTTTTTTCTTTTTTTGGCAGATTTTTTTTTTTTTTGGCTGCTAATTTTTTTTGTTTTTTTAGGACGTTTTTTTTTTTTTTTTGAAGGGCTTTTTTTTCTTTTTTTGACCAGCTTTTTTTTTTTTTTTCTCCATCGTTTTTTTATTTTTTTGGGGCAGTTTTTTTTTTTTTACACACTCAGTTTTTTTCTTTTTTTATGGGCTTTTTTTTTTTTTTCAGTAATAACTTTTTTTTTTTTTTTTGACCCATTTTTTTTTTTTTCTGGGAAGAGTTTTTTTGTTTTTTTAGCCCAATTTTTTTTTTTTTGATGTCTGTCTTTTTTTCTTTTTTTAGTGGCCTTTTTTTTTTTTTATTTGTTGAGTTTTTTTTTTTTTTTCCAATTCTTTTTTTTTTTTTCCCTAGCCATTTTTTTTCTTTTTTTAACCTTGTTTTTTTTTTTTTGCAGAAGCCTTTTTTTTCTTTTTTTTGCTAACTTTTTTTTTTTTTCTGCCCAGACTTTTTTTTTTTTTTTTTGAGACTTTTTTTTTTTTTGTCACCCAGGTTTTTTTGTTTTTTTATGGCGCTTTTTTTTTTTTTCCTCCACCTCTTTTTTTCTTTTTTTTCTCCTGTTTTTTTTTTTTTAGTGGCTGGGTTTTTTTGTTTTTTTTGCCATGTTTTTTTTTTTTTGTTTTTCTAGTTTTTTTATTTTTTTGCCACATTTTTTTTTTTTTTCTCGAACTCCTTTTTTTATTTTTTTTGCCCTCTTTTTTTTTTTTTAGTGCTGGGATTTTTTTCTTTTTTTACTGCACTTTTTTTTTTTTTTCTTTTAAAATTTTTTTTTTTTTTTGGCGTAGTTTTTTTTTTTTTTAATCCCAGCTTTTTTTGTTTTTTTAGCGGGTTTTTTTTTTTTTTAGGAGTTCAATTTTTTTCTTTTTTTGACAGTGTTTTTTTTTTTTTATTAAATAAATTTTTTTATTTTTTTGGCGTGGTTTTTTTTTTTTTCTGAGGAGGCTTTTTTTGTTTTTTTCTTGAACTTTTTTTTTTTTTTTTCAGTGAGTTTTTTTCTTTTTTTTGCATTCTTTTTTTTTTTTTAGAGCAAGACTTTTTTTCTTTTTTTCAAAAACTTTTTTTTTTTTTAACAAAAATCTTTTTTTTTTTTTTTCTTATGCTTTTTTTTTTTTTACTTTGGGAGTTTTTTTTTTTTTTTTCACCTGTTTTTTTTTTTTTGAGAATCGCCTTTTTTTCTTTTTTTAACCCCATTTTTTTTTTTTTTACAAAGTAGTTTTTTTTTTTTTTTCATGCCTTTTTTTTTTTTTTCTGGGGAGCCTTTTTTTGTTTTTTTACTTGAATTTTTTTTTTTTTGGTTGCAGTGTTTTTTTATTTTTTTCTCACACTTTTTTTTTTTTTACTGGGCAACTTTTTTTGTTTTTTTTCTGAAATTTTTTTTTTTTTAAACCCCACATTTTTTTTTTTTTTTCTTCTCTTTTTTTTTTTTTTCTGTGCTTAGTTTTTTTTTTTTTTTCCCGACATTTTTTTTTTTTTCTGCATGGGCTTTTTTTTTTTTTTTCCAATGCTTTTTTTTTTTTTTCTCACTCCCTTTTTTTGTTTTTTTTGGCTTGTTTTTTTTTTTTTACAGGCCAAGTTTTTTTATTTTTTTTGCACTCTTTTTTTTTTTTTCCTTGAACGCTTTTTTTTTTTTTTTCATTCCCTTTTTTTTTTTTTTCCTGTTATTTTTTTTTCTTTTTTTATGTCACTTTTTTTTTTTTTACCTTGTGGTTTTTTTTTTTTTTTTAGTCTCGTTTTTTTTTTTTTGCTGGAGTGCTTTTTTTCTTTTTTTGCTCACTTTTTTTTTTTTTTCTCCCGGGTTTTTTTTTGTTTTTTTCCTCAGCTTTTTTTTTTTTTGGGACTACAGTTTTTTTCTTTTTTTCCTGGCTTTTTTTTTTTTTTTTTTAGTAGATTTTTTTTTTTTTTTTATTAGCTTTTTTTTTTTTTATCTCCTGACTTTTTTTTTTTTTTTCCTCGACTTTTTTTTTTTTTGGGATTACAGTTTTTTTCTTTTTTTCCCGGCGTTTTTTTTTTTTTTTTTTTTTTTTTTTTTTATTTTTTTTGTCGCCTTTTTTTTTTTTTAATGGCGTGATTTTTTTTTTTTTTTATCTCTGTTTTTTTTTTTTTAGCGATTCTCTTTTTTTATTTTTTTAAGTAGCTTTTTTTTTTTTTGCCCGCAACCTTTTTTTGTTTTTTTTTGCATTTTTTTTTTTTTTTGGGTTTTGGCTTTTTTTCTTTTTTTGTCTTTTTTTTTTTTTTTTTTTTTTTGAGATTTTTTTTTTTTTTTTCGCCCTTTTTTTTTTTTTTTGGTACAATCTTTTTTTATTTTTTTCTCCGCCTTTTTTTTTTTTTCGATTCTCCTTTTTTTTCTTTTTTTGGAGCTGTTTTTTTTTTTTTATGCCACCATTTTTTTTTTTTTTTTGTATTTTTTTTTTTTTTTTTGGTTTCACCATTTTTTTCTTTTTTTTCTTAAATTTTTTTTTTTTTGTGATCTGCCTTTTTTTGTTTTTTTAAATGCTTTTTTTTTTTTTTTGAGTCACCGTTTTTTTCTTTTTTTTGTTTTTTTTTTTTTTTTTTTTGCTCTGTTTTTTTTTCTTTTTTTCAGTGGTTTTTTTTTTTTTTACTGCAGTCTTTTTTTTCTTTTTTTAGGCGATTTTTTTTTTTTTTCCTCTTGAGTTTTTTTTATTTTTTTTGCCCGCTTTTTTTTTTTTTTAAGTTTTGTTTTTTTTGTTTTTTTTAGCTGGTTTTTTTTTTTTTGTATTGTCCATTTTTTTTTTTTTTTTGTTGGCTTTTTTTTTTTTTCACGTTGTGTTTTTTTTCTTTTTTTACTTGTCTTTTTTTTTTTTTTTCTAATATGTTTTTTTTTTTTTTTTGTCAATTTTTTTTTTTTTTGAAGGCGGAATTTTTTTTTTTTTTTTCCAGGCTTTTTTTTTTTTTTAGAAGACCTTTTTTTTATTTTTTTTTCATAATTTTTTTTTTTTTTCATGTGCAGTTTTTTTATTTTTTTCCCCAGTTTTTTTTTTTTTTGAGGCAAGTGTTTTTTTTTTTTTTTGGAGTTTTTTTTTTTTTTTTGCAACAACAGTTTTTTTTTTTTTTTCTATAAATTTTTTTTTTTTTCCAGGCTGGGTTTTTTTGTTTTTTTGTAGATCTTTTTTTTTTTTTGGCTGAGGTGTTTTTTTCTTTTTTTCTCCTTGTTTTTTTTTTTTTTATGATCACATTTTTTTATTTTTTTCTCGGCATTTTTTTTTTTTTCTTTCTCTTATTTTTTTGTTTTTTTTTCTCTATTTTTTTTTTTTTCTTGCCTGGTTTTTTTTATTTTTTTCTCTGGTTTTTTTTTTTTTTTTCTCTCAGTTTTTTTTCTTTTTTTCCCTGTATTTTTTTTTTTTTTTCCAACACCTTTTTTTGTTTTTTTCTTCTGTTTTTTTTTTTTTTCACGCTCTAGTTTTTTTCTTTTTTTCGTGGGTTTTTTTTTTTTTTCTCTCCTCCATTTTTTTATTTTTTTTCCAACATTTTTTTTTTTTTTGCCTACTATTTTTTTTGTTTTTTTGACACATTTTTTTTTTTTTTTCCCAAATCCTTTTTTTTTTTTTTTAAGATTATTTTTTTTTTTTTTCAGATTCTCTTTTTTTTTTTTTTTCCCCTATTTTTTTTTTTTTTCCCTGCAAATTTTTTTTCTTTTTTTGGAATGCTTTTTTTTTTTTTTCTACGGAATTTTTTTTTTTTTTTTCCAGAGGTTTTTTTTTTTTTTTTTTGGGCCTTTTTTTGTTTTTTTCCCTTGTTTTTTTTTTTTTTTGGGAGATCATTTTTTTTTTTTTTTTGAGGTCTTTTTTTTTTTTTTAGCCTAATATTTTTTTATTTTTTTAAATACATTTTTTTTTTTTTCGTCTGTAGTTTTTTTTATTTTTTTGGCTGAGTTTTTTTTTTTTTAACCCGGGAGTTTTTTTTTTTTTTTAGCCGAGTTTTTTTTTTTTTACTCCAGCCTTTTTTTTATTTTTTTACTCTGTTTTTTTTTTTTTTAAAAGAAAAATTTTTTTATTTTTTTTGCCACTTTTTTTTTTTTTTTGGGACCTACTTTTTTTCTTTTTTTCCTCACATTTTTTTTTTTTTGGAGGCTGGGTTTTTTTATTTTTTTGGGACCCTTTTTTTTTTTTTGCATCCCCGATTTTTTTATTTTTTTTTGCAATTTTTTTTTTTTTTTGAACCCATGTTTTTTTGTTTTTTTAACAAATTTTTTTTTTTTTTCCCCCACAACTTTTTTTCTTTTTTTAAGCTTTTTTTTTTTTTTTTAAAGTTCTGCTTTTTTTCTTTTTTTCCCGACCTTTTTTTTTTTTTGGTTCCGAGGTTTTTTTATTTTTTTCCAGTCTTTTTTTTTTTTTTACTCGGCATGTTTTTTTCTTTTTTTACAGGACTTTTTTTTTTTTTCCCAAGTCTCTTTTTTTGTTTTTTTTGCAGGGTTTTTTTTTTTTTACCCCAGCAGTTTTTTTTTTTTTTTTGGGACCTTTTTTTTTTTTTACTAATTCATTTTTTTTTTTTTTTTAGGTCATTTTTTTTTTTTTTAACTTGGTTCTTTTTTTTTTTTTTTGGGCGTGTTTTTTTTTTTTTCTTAACATCTTTTTTTTTTTTTTTTAACCCTCTTTTTTTTTTTTTCTCCTGCTGCTTTTTTTGTTTTTTTTTTCCTCTTTTTTTTTTTTTCGCACATCAATTTTTTTTTTTTTTTACAGAAGTTTTTTTTTTTTTCCCTTCCTCTTTTTTTTCTTTTTTTACCTCCTTTTTTTTTTTTTTACCTCTCCCATTTTTTTGTTTTTTTTTTATCCTTTTTTTTTTTTTGGCGCCTGGATTTTTTTGTTTTTTTCGGGTGTTTTTTTTTTTTTTGGGCTAGACTTTTTTTTGTTTTTTTTGATCACTTTTTTTTTTTTTCCAATTTCCCTTTTTTTATTTTTTTACCGCTGTTTTTTTTTTTTTCATGAGGTAATTTTTTTCTTTTTTTGACAGCCTTTTTTTTTTTTTCCCGAGCCCCTTTTTTTGTTTTTTTCCCGACCTTTTTTTTTTTTTCTCCCCAAAATTTTTTTGTTTTTTTCGACTTCTTTTTTTTTTTTTGGGCCAGGCCTTTTTTTATTTTTTTAAGCGTGTTTTTTTTTTTTTAGCTGAACCGTTTTTTTGTTTTTTTGTCCTCTTTTTTTTTTTTTTCACGAATCTCTTTTTTTGTTTTTTTCATGCCGTTTTTTTTTTTTTGCCGCGACTGTTTTTTTATTTTTTTGCCACGCTTTTTTTTTTTTTTCCAGAGCTCTTTTTTTTTTTTTTTGTTCTCTTTTTTTTTTTTTTGCGGAGCCTGTTTTTTTATTTTTTTGACTTTTTTTTTTTTTTTTTCAGCCCGCCCTTTTTTTCTTTTTTTCAATCTGTTTTTTTTTTTTTCGCGCGCTCTTTTTTTTGTTTTTTTAATTCTTTTTTTTTTTTTTTCGTCTTAAAGTTTTTTTTTTTTTTTCGACTCGTTTTTTTTTTTTTGAGCAGAGGATTTTTTTATTTTTTTCGCGTCATTTTTTTTTTTTTCTCCAGAGGGTTTTTTTGTTTTTTTGCGGCAGTTTTTTTTTTTTTAGGTGGAAAATTTTTTTATTTTTTTGTCCTATTTTTTTTTTTTTTATCTCTCAGGTTTTTTTGTTTTTTTGAACCTTTTTTTTTTTTTTTCCCACTATTTTTTTTTTATTTTTTTGGAAGAGTTTTTTTTTTTTTGGCCACAGTATTTTTTTATTTTTTTGCCATCGTTTTTTTTTTTTTTTGAAACGATTTTTTTTATTTTTTTCCTGTCCTTTTTTTTTTTTTAGGCCCCAGCTTTTTTTATTTTTTTCTGAAACTTTTTTTTTTTTTTGGTCTGGCCTTTTTTTGTTTTTTTAGCCTCATTTTTTTTTTTTTCCTCCTCCACTTTTTTTATTTTTTTTCCAGGCTTTTTTTTTTTTTGGAATATGCGTTTTTTTGTTTTTTTGAGTTGCTTTTTTTTTTTTTGAACCACTGATTTTTTTGTTTTTTTAGAAGCATTTTTTTTTTTTTAACCCTAGAATTTTTTTATTTTTTTAAAGAATTTTTTTTTTTTTTACCCTTATTATTTTTTTTTTTTTTTATTTCCATTTTTTTTTTTTTGCTTCCAGCTTTTTTTTATTTTTTTCGTAAGATTTTTTTTTTTTTGGCAGAGTCATTTTTTTGTTTTTTTAATCCCATTTTTTTTTTTTTTGCAATTCTATTTTTTTGTTTTTTTGAAACTATTTTTTTTTTTTTGAGAGACACATTTTTTTATTTTTTTACAGTTTTTTTTTTTTTTTTGAAAACAATTTTTTTTTATTTTTTTATCAACGTTTTTTTTTTTTTATGGAGGTATTTTTTTTCTTTTTTTATTATCCTTTTTTTTTTTTTGGATACATGCTTTTTTTATTTTTTTAAACTGGTTTTTTTTTTTTTAAAAAATCTATTTTTTTTTTTTTTTTAAGTTTTTTTTTTTTTTTTGTTTCACCATTTTTTTTATTTTTTTCTTGAACTTTTTTTTTTTTTTTGGGCTCTATTTTTTTTTTTTTTTCAGCCTCTTTTTTTTTTTTTATTACAGGCATTTTTTTCTTTTTTTGGCCAAATTTTTTTTTTTTTAAGGATACAATTTTTTTTTTTTTTTACAGTGATTTTTTTTTTTTTAACTGGAACTTTTTTTTCTTTTTTTAGCATTTTTTTTTTTTTTTTTCATAGCAACTTTTTTTATTTTTTTAGCAACCTTTTTTTTTTTTTAATATTGTTGTTTTTTTCTTTTTTTAGATAAGTTTTTTTTTTTTTTAAATAACTTTTTTTTTATTTTTTTGGTAGAGTTTTTTTTTTTTTCAGGCAGTTTTTTTTTTCTTTTTTTTGTTAGATTTTTTTTTTTTTTGCCTGAAATTTTTTTTATTTTTTTGAAAAAATTTTTTTTTTTTTTTTTAAATACTTTTTTTGTTTTTTTATAGTGGTTTTTTTTTTTTTTCCTAGCACTTTTTTTTGTTTTTTTGGGTGGATTTTTTTTTTTTTGGAGTTTGTCTTTTTTTGTTTTTTTAATATGGTTTTTTTTTTTTTCTATTAAAAATTTTTTTTTTTTTTTGTGTGGTTTTTTTTTTTTTTAGTCCCAGCTTTTTTTTATTTTTTTGCATGAGTTTTTTTTTTTTTTGAGAGATGGTTTTTTTATTTTTTTGAGATTGTTTTTTTTTTTTTTAGCCTGGGTTTTTTTTCTTTTTTTTGTCTCATTTTTTTTTTTTTTCTGGGCATGTTTTTTTATTTTTTTGGTCCCATTTTTTTTTTTTTCTGAGGTGGGTTTTTTTCTTTTTTTTAGGAAGTTTTTTTTTTTTTTAAGACATGATTTTTTTATTTTTTTGCAGCCTTTTTTTTTTTTTTAGACCTTGTCTTTTTTTATTTTTTTATACATATTTTTTTTTTTTTCTGGGAGCATTTTTTTTTTTTTTTTTCCAGGATTTTTTTTTTTTTGCACTGTAGGTTTTTTTCTTTTTTTCTCTTTTTTTTTTTTTTTTTTCTTTTTTTTTTTTTTTATTTTTTTACAGGGTTTTTTTTTTTTTTCCAGGCTAGATTTTTTTGTTTTTTTCACAGCTTTTTTTTTTTTTTACTACAGGTGTTTTTTTCTTTTTTTGGCTCCTTTTTTTTTTTTTTAGAATTTTTTTTTTTTTTTTTTTTTGTCTCACTTTTTTTTTTTTTCTGGAGTGCTTTTTTTTGTTTTTTTCTCACTGTTTTTTTTTTTTTCTGGGTTCACTTTTTTTTTTTTTTTCAGCCTTTTTTTTTTTTTTTATTACAGATGTTTTTTTCTTTTTTTAGCTAATTTTTTTTTTTTTTGTAGAGATGGTTTTTTTCTTTTTTTGCCAGACTTTTTTTTTTTTTCTGACCTCAATTTTTTTTTTTTTTTCTACCTCTTTTTTTTTTTTTATTACAGGCGTTTTTTTCTTTTTTTGGCCACTTTTTTTTTTTTTTTTTTTGTTCATTTTTTTATTTTTTTCCACTTATTTTTTTTTTTTTCTGGTCATAGTTTTTTTATTTTTTTGGCCATTTTTTTTTTTTTTTATGAGCATGTTTTTTTTATTTTTTTGGAGGAATTTTTTTTTTTTTTTTTTTTTTTTTTTTTTATTTTTTTTCTGTCATTTTTTTTTTTTTCAGTGGCGCATTTTTTTCTTTTTTTAACCTCCTTTTTTTTTTTTTAAGCGATTCCTTTTTTTCTTTTTTTTGAGTATTTTTTTTTTTTTTCACGCGTCACTTTTTTTGTTTTTTTTTTTGTATTTTTTTTTTTTTGGGGTTTCACTTTTTTTGTTTTTTTTCGATTTTTTTTTTTTTTTTTCTGCCCGCCTTTTTTTCTTTTTTTGCTGGGGTTTTTTTTTTTTTCCACTGCCTGTTTTTTTTTTTTTTTGTCTATTTTTTTTTTTTTTTACATGTTCTTTTTTTTTCTTTTTTTAAATTACTTTTTTTTTTTTTGGTTGTTGATTTTTTTTATTTTTTTAGTTTCATTTTTTTTTTTTTGAGGATCTATTTTTTTTATTTTTTTCAACATGTTTTTTTTTTTTTCAAAATTAAATTTTTTTTTTTTTTTCATGGTGTTTTTTTTTTTTTTTCCCAGCTATTTTTTTGTTTTTTTGGGAGGATTTTTTTTTTTTTGGAGTGTTTGTTTTTTTGTTTTTTTATCAACCTTTTTTTTTTTTTCCTGGATGATTTTTTTTTTTTTTTTAAAAAAATTTTTTTTTTTTTATCAAACAAATTTTTTTCTTTTTTTCACAGGATTTTTTTTTTTTTAGATGTTGGTTTTTTTTGTTTTTTTTGAGAGGTTTTTTTTTTTTTAGGCTGAAATTTTTTTTTTTTTTTTATAGAAATTTTTTTTTTTTTTCCTAACATTTTTTTTTCTTTTTTTGTACAAGTTTTTTTTTTTTTCTAATTTAGGTTTTTTTCTTTTTTTGAAAATATTTTTTTTTTTTTGCCAAACTACTTTTTTTTTTTTTTTCTGTTACTTTTTTTTTTTTTAGTGACATTTTTTTTTTGTTTTTTTCAAGGGGTTTTTTTTTTTTTGCAGAGGGAATTTTTTTTTTTTTTTGCAGGAATTTTTTTTTTTTTTGCAGTGTGGTTTTTTTGTTTTTTTCAAAAGATTTTTTTTTTTTTTGTGTACGGTTTTTTTTATTTTTTTAGAGGTCTTTTTTTTTTTTTTCACCATGAGTTTTTTTTTTTTTTTTTTTTTTTTTTTTTTTTTTTGTCTCCCTCCTTTTTTTATTTTTTTATGCAGATTTTTTTTTTTTTCTCACTGCAATTTTTTTTTTTTTTTTTCAAGATTTTTTTTTTTTTCAGCCTCCCTTTTTTTTGTTTTTTTAGGCATGTTTTTTTTTTTTTAGCTAATTTTTTTTTTTTTTTTTTTGACAGGGTTTTTTTTTTTTTGTTAGACTGGTTTTTTTCTTTTTTTCTCAGGTTTTTTTTTTTTTTTGGCCTCCCATTTTTTTGTTTTTTTAAGTGTGTTTTTTTTTTTTTAGCCTCAGAGTTTTTTTATTTTTTTAGTGATCTTTTTTTTTTTTTATCATTTGAATTTTTTTGTTTTTTTCTGCAGGTTTTTTTTTTTTTGCCACTGCACTTTTTTTTTTTTTTTAGAGCGATTTTTTTTTTTTTCAAAAAAAAATTTTTTTATTTTTTTAAGAAGATTTTTTTTTTTTTAGAGTAGAAGTTTTTTTATTTTTTTCTGCTGTTTTTTTTTTTTTTGATGATGGTGTTTTTTTCTTTTTTTTGGGGGGTTTTTTTTTTTTTAAGTGGATGTTTTTTTTATTTTTTTTGAAGGTTTTTTTTTTTTTTTTTGTTGGTTTTTTTTTGTTTTTTTGAGAAAGTTTTTTTTTTTTTACAGATTTTGTTTTTTTGTTTTTTTCGTGGGTTTTTTTTTTTTTTTTTGGGGATGTTTTTTTTTTTTTTTAGGACTGTTTTTTTTTTTTTTCAGGCGTGTTTTTTTTGTTTTTTTAAGTTGATTTTTTTTTTTTTGTTGGCAGTGTTTTTTTGTTTTTTTGGTTTAGTTTTTTTTTTTTTGCTACACATTTTTTTTTGTTTTTTTCAATCATTTTTTTTTTTTTTAAAGTCAAGGTTTTTTTGTTTTTTTACTAACATTTTTTTTTTTTTAGAAAAGACCTTTTTTTGTTTTTTTGTATGGTTTTTTTTTTTTTTAATCCTAGGGTTTTTTTATTTTTTTGCGGGAGTTTTTTTTTTTTTCAGGAGTTTGTTTTTTTCTTTTTTTACATGGTTTTTTTTTTTTTTTATTATTAATTTTTTTTTTTTTTTTTATATTTTTTTTTTTTTTTTTTTTGAGATGTTTTTTTGTTTTTTTACCCAGGTTTTTTTTTTTTTGCATGATCTCTTTTTTTTTTTTTTTCCGTTCATTTTTTTTTTTTTCCTCAGCCTCTTTTTTTGTTTTTTTTACAGGCTTTTTTTTTTTTTCTTGGCTAATTTTTTTTTTTTTTTTAGAGATGTTTTTTTTTTTTTTTGGCCAGGCTTTTTTTCTTTTTTTTAATCACTTTTTTTTTTTTTCTCGAGCTCATTTTTTTATTTTTTTCTGCTGCTTTTTTTTTTTTTAGTGCTGGGGTTTTTTTCTTTTTTTACTGTGCTTTTTTTTTTTTTCCTTTATGAGTTTTTTTTTTTTTTTGATGGAATTTTTTTTTTTTTTCAAATCAAATTTTTTTTTTTTTTTCAAGCCATTTTTTTTTTTTTGACAGGATGGTTTTTTTGTTTTTTTCGAGCAGTTTTTTTTTTTTTCACATCCTTCTTTTTTTGTTTTTTTAGGTGCTTTTTTTTTTTTTTATATTTGTTGTTTTTTTTTTTTTTTGGAGTCATTTTTTTTTTTTTTAGGAATCTCTTTTTTTGTTTTTTTAGGCCAGTTTTTTTTTTTTTCCCTTTGAAGTTTTTTTTTTTTTTTCTTTTCCTTTTTTTTTTTTTACACACTTGCTTTTTTTCTTTTTTTTGTTCTGTTTTTTTTTTTTTCAACCTTTGCTTTTTTTGTTTTTTTCATCTGGTTTTTTTTTTTTTTTCTGTGCACTTTTTTTTTTTTTTTCCACCCATTTTTTTTTTTTTCGTTTCAAGGTTTTTTTCTTTTTTTAGCCTTCTTTTTTTTTTTTTTAAAAGGAAATTTTTTTATTTTTTTTGGCTCATTTTTTTTTTTTTAGGACTTTGGTTTTTTTATTTTTTTGGATCACTTTTTTTTTTTTTAGTTTTCTTCTTTTTTTCTTTTTTTCTTTTTCTTTTTTTTTTTTTT